TCCCAGCCCCCTGCCGTGCCCGGCCGCGTCCGGAGAGCCGCCGAGCCCGGGCCCGCCGCCGCCACCGCCACCGCCTCCCCGAACAGCGTGGCCGGCCCTGCCGAGGCCGCCGACACCAAGTCCTACTTGTGGGCCAGATACCACGAGATGAAGAAGCTGGTCTACGGTAAGAGCCGGGCCGCTGCGTCCCGGGCTTTGCCTGTGGCTGCCCTGCCTCGCCCCGCGCTGGTGCCGCTCCCTAGCTAGCTTGTTGAGGCGACCCGCAGAGTAAGGCTACCCTGAAGGGATCTGCCCTTTAGAAAGAGGATCTTGCTGGCAGCTTCTCGGCGGGCACCCGTGGAGACTGAGAGCAAGCAAGGCCCTGGTGCTGCTGTTCCCTCAAAGTGTGGCGAGGCCACCTGCACTGAGCACAGAGCAGTGACCGACCTGACACGCTCAGTGTGCGTGGGTCCTGGGGGGAACAGCTCGCTCGCAGGGGAAGTGCCAGAATGGGCTCAAATAACGAGCCTTGCTGCTGGGTGGGTAGTGGAAGGGGCATGGAAAGTGGCTACACCAATGCAACTGACTTGTAATGCCTCAACACCAGTATAAATATTAGTTCTGGTTGGATCCTTATGCTTATGCTAGCTTGTTTTCTGGTGATGAAGTGTGACTCTGAATCTTGTTGATGAAGAGAGGACCATGAGGAGCTGATCAGGGGTTCTCAAACTTTGTGATACCATGACCCTGTAAAATAATATAAAAATTTACGTGCTGTCCCCCCATGATTAAAGCTATTGACTTCATTAGGATTAGGTAGGAGATAGATAAAGCACATTCGCTAACCTGTACACGCCAAGATTACAAAACAAAAGAAACTTCCAATGTGGGCGAGTCCAAGAACACGTGCATCACTGCTGGGGGAGGGAAGCAGGCAGAGCATTTGCACATTGGGGAGGGAAGAGAAGTTTGCGACCGCCTTTTAAGTTGCTCGCGACTCCCTGGGTCTGTTGCAACCCACTGTTTGAGAACCCCTGGCCCAGATGGTTTTACTGACCTGGCAGGGGAGATGCACTTCTTTGTGGCCTTGAATGATCCAGTGTACTTAGAGGGTGAAGGCCTGTCCCTTGCAATGCACGCAGCCCAACCCCAGCAAGAATCTACAAATACCTCCAATGCAAGGAGCTCGGTGACATACTTTATGGTGATGAGGGATTGCTCAGACTTCCCCTCTAGCTTGCTCCTTTGGCTAGGAGGACAAGCAAGATTAGAAGGCATCTGAACTCCAAGGCCTTTGGGCTTGGGGCTTGCATGTATGCTTGCCATAGATTTGGGAGTATCTGAAGCCCCAGGCTGAAGAGTCTGGGAGGTAGGATACTTACTGGTGGTAGCACCACACAGGCTTGAACAATTGAGTTTCGCTTAGTCAATAGAATTTAGAACTGATTTGGCTGACTTAGCCTAAGATGCAAAATTAAAAAAAAGAAATAAAGAGGACCATGAATACCAAACATTTTTATCCTGTCAGGCAGTGTTTCCTCTAAGCTGCATGGGTGCTCCTGGCAGCGCGGCATGAGTGCTCCTGTGCGGCTGTGCACACCGTGCAGTTTAGAGGGAACGCTGCAGGCAGGTAATCCAGACTCTTACCATCAGGATTGTAAGTGTTACTGCCTCAACAGAAGAGAACTTGTGCTGTATCTATTTATTATGTAAATGGAAGACTGCCAAGCCAGCACTTTTTAGCCATATTAAACTCTTAATATTAAAGTAACAAAGCATTTTCCACAGCACAATAAAATGGAAAAACTGTTCCCTGCTGATGCTTTCATTCTTGAAATGTCCTGACTAAGCACCCTCAAAAGCCTAGAAACACTCTGACTCTTCCCTTTTTATTGTTAAAGTGGTTTTGTTGCCCTGTAGTTAAAGGAGGGGGGGGGCAGAAAGTAAAGGCAGATGCTTCTCTTGAGTGAGTGTAATCTGTTAAGAGAAAAATCTTGCCTGTTTTACTATGCATCATTTCTCCCATCAGAAAAAATAATTAAAGTGTAAGGTTCTGTGTACAAGTCAACAGCAAAAAACAAATGGTTGAAGCTAAAGAATTATTGGTATGTTTTGAGCACCAGGCTTTATACACAGTACTTGTTGCTTAACCTGATTCATCGAAGGGGTGCACTTCTTTAATATTAAAGTGAAATCTGCAAAGTGATTCCATTTTATCAGACTTGAGATAATACTCTTTAATTTCTTATAGTTCATTTTTCTTTCTTTTTTTTTTTCTGGTATGCAGTGGAGGAAACTAGTTCTCAAGTGCATGTAAACTGGGAGGAGCTAATGCTACCTCTTGAGTAAAAGCATGCTACTTGAGCTAACAAATTATGATTTCTTTATTTGCACAATGACAACACTCCGTATGATGCATTTATTAGAATTATTTGTAATGATAATCACAGGTACACAACACAAGGTAGGTGATTTGCATGCAAAACAGGCTCTTGCCGAATACCTGATTGAAGATTTTGGTAATGTTCTGCATAAAAAGCTCCTCACAAAGATTGGTTAACTTGCAAAAATTTCAAGGTCTGGTGTCTCTGAAAATCCATGTTTCTTTTTGGTATTCTTAACTTTGTGAGTTGCACCAATCTGTCGAAGTTAGCTTTGTATAACACTTAATTCAAACTTCAGTATAAAATGAATGTCTGATCTTCACTTCTTTGAGACTAATCAAATCTGACAGTATTTTCTATTGTAGTTAATCAGGGTCATGCTTGGGTACACCCAAAATATTCTATATGGTTCAAAACCTGTCTGAAACTGGGTTTTTCTTCACTTTCTTTCTTCTTATTGGTACTTTTCAAGGTATATGTGTTAAAGAGAAGGTATATCTTTTAAATTCTACTTTTGTTAACCAAATGGTTCATTCAGTGATTGAACTGTGAGTTCAGCATAGTGTTTCAAACTAACCTCTAAATGTTCTTGCTTTTTCAGTTGTTTCACCATTGTTCTTTTTTCACTTTATTAGTTCTCCGTTTTATTGGCTATGTTTCAAGGCAGTAGGTCCTGCTTAGATGGATGTAGCAGAGCCTTCTGTGGCACTGAGCAACACAAAGAGTACCTTCCGTGGAATGAAGTCTATTTTTGTTATTGATACAATGATTGCAACACAGATTGAAGGATTTAGTCTCACAAATGGTTTGCTGAGCTTTTCAACCAGTGCAGTGATGTCAGACTGATTCAATTGTAGCTGATCAGGTTCAAAACTGTAATGGTAATGAGCAATTATTAATAAAAATGTATATCTTTTCAACTTAACCTACCATTTTCAAGTTAAGGGAGGGGAGGGTATATGTGTGTAAGTGTTTCAGTGAACCTCATCGCTGTATGGCACTTCTTTGTCAACTGCTTCTTGCTGTGTTTAGGATATGACCTGTGAATGCTTTTCACTGGAGTGTCCCCAACAGCCTGTGCACGACATTGTAGGTGAAAGGAGCAGAGTGTTTTTGGCTGCTCTGTTGTCCTCTTGTAGTTTCCACAGTCTGCCTGAGAGGGGGCAGACCAAGAGGGTGCTCAGGTGAAACTGCCATGCGCCTAATGCAGTCAGATTGGAAGTAGCTGTGGCAAAAGCTTCCTGGTCTAACCCTGCATCTTGTCTCCCAGAAACAGAGGCAGACAGAGCAAGTGGAACTGTCTCATGCACCTTTATTTTCAGGAGGCATGTCACAGATGAATTGAGAGGTGGCTGCACCAGAAAGGTCTACCTGCCTGCATAACATTATGCAGGCAGGCAGCCACTTTCGTTGCAGCTCTTCCCCATTTGGCTCTGGTGTGCTTCTTGGAAACAGACATGCTTGAGGTAGTTTCACCTCACAGTGGTGACAGCCTAGAGAGAGGTGCCACTGCCACCAGGTAAAACTGCCCCATGCACCATTCTTTGCTGGAGGTATGTCAGAACTGAACTGGGAAGAGCTGTAGCAGAAGTGGTATACCAGCCCTCAGAATGTAATGCAGGCAGGCAAGTCCTTCTGCTGCAGCTGCAGTTTCACCCTGTGTCAGAGGTGCTGGGGTCATTGGTTTTCGTGGCACCCCAGTTGAGAACCAGTGGCTTATAGAGCAGAGGTAACAAACTGTGATATGTGTGTCACAAATGGCATGGGAAGCCTGTGTGTGGCACATGGCAAATTGGGGATAGAACAGGCAGCATGGTGGCAGACAGAGAAGAAAGCAAAATGCAGAGGAGCAAATTGGGCAGAGAGTGATACTCAGGCAGGGTTTAAAGCTAATCTGTGGCATGCTTGCCAAAAAGGCTGGCCCCTATTGACCTAGAGCAGCATTGTCTCTGCACATGCACACCAGCCAACTCAGGAAAGGGGAGAGAAGATGGGAACTAACAGTAAGTTCCTTGATTGCATGTCTGTTTTTCCAGCCATATATTAGGACAAAGCAGGTATAATTTGCACTTGCTGGGGACTGCTTCAAGCTGGCAAGGAATTTGCAGTTGGTTCTCTCTCCTTTCCCATCTTAGTGTGGCAAAGTGAACTGTATAAGATAAGGTATCTGGGTTGTAGCTGTATTGGTCTAGAGGAAAGGAGCCCTGATTGATGTATAAGGTAAAGAATCTGTCCCAGAGTTTTTATTGTATTCACTATAGCAGGATAGGCAATGTTTTTGGCCAGAGTGCCAAAAAAACTGCAATGTCTACCTTTTAAGGTGCGGGAGTGCTGGCATGCCAGAACAGCAAAAGCGGGGTGGGGAAGGGGTACATGGCAGGATGCACTGAATATTCACAAGGTACCTTTCAGCCCTAAACTTCTGTGAATAAATATAAATAAATGTTATAAATGTTGCTTTTTTTACAGTAAATACCAGGTTTTCTAAAAATTCTAAACCTGGTGACAATAAATAAAACTTCATATACTACCTTAGTTCTTATGTATTTGTTTTTGTTAAGCATGTTGCGATGAGAGAGAGAGAGGGGGGCGGAAAAAGAGGAGAGAGAGGGAAAGAAAAAGAAAGAGGCAAAGAAAGAAAAAAGAGAAGAAATAGAAAAATGGGGAGAAGAAGGGAAAAAAGGGGAAGAGAGAGAGTGAAAAAAGGGAAAGAAAAAAGAAGAGGAGAAGAAAAGAGAGATAAGACAGGGCGTTGTCCGCTTAGGCTCTGGCCCCACCCAGGGCTCACCCACTGGCTGCAGCTCCCCTCCAGGGGCCAGGCTCAGTTGGAGGACACAGCCCCAGACAGGGTTAGAAGAACACGGACTGTGTCCCTGCCTGTGTTTTCCTGACTCTGCCCCTAGTGCCTGCCATAGTGCTGGGAGCTGTGACTGCTCTGGGAGCCCAGAGCAGCAACTTAAAAAAATAAAATAAAAATTAAACAATTTCCTTGCACACCTCCTGGCATACCAGGGAAAATATCTCTGCATGCCACTAATTGGTACATGTGACGGGGTTGCCGGTCCCTGCATTATAGTTTCCTGATCTCTTTGAACTATATTTCATTGTTGGTCTGCAAAGGTTGATTGCTACTGATCTTTTGGGTCAAATACACGCTTTGTTCACATTTTTTGATTAATTGGTTTTAGCCTTTGCTCGCAGTGTAACATTTTGCTCATTGCACTTTGAAAGAGTCTTACCTTGTGACTTTTAAGTGGTACAATGCAATTCTGAATAGAACTTGTACCCATGTTTCTCATACATTCAAGTATATTGTCTTTGTTTCCCTATGTTTTAAATACAATAGAAGTAGAGGTGCACTGATATATTGGTTGCAGATTGGATTAGCACTGATAAAAGGAAAATTAAAATTATCAGCTGTCAGGTTTGGGGGTTTTTTGTTTTTTTTTTGTGGCCAGTGTAACCAATTAAAGCTCACCAATAAATATAATATGCCTTCTGGTTGGGGTCCCACATACCGCATGCATGTGTGCAGCTGCACTTATGCATGTGGCCAGGAATGCAGCTGGGCAGCATGGAGAGAAGTGCCCTGCAGGTAAGTTTGGGGAGGGGAAGGGGTGTGGGGAGGGTAGATCGAGGCCCCCAAGGTGAGGGAGGGAGAGGGGCAGGGGCTGGGGGCACTGCCTAACCAGGACAGTGAATGGGACCCCAGGCTGGGGTGGGAAGTGGGATGCAGCTCATCCAGGGGGCTCAGGGGGGAGGATGGGAAGGTAGGGCAGCTATCCACCACTGCACACACCCCCAGGGGAAGCATGGGATGGCATGTTCCCCACCAGATTTGTGCACAGGGTGAAAGCGGGCTGCTTGCTGTGGGCTTGGGGCTCTCTGTTCTGCTACCTTCCCCTAGAAGCCCCGCACTGCCTACCCGGCAGCAGTGGGGTGGTGAGTTGTGGGGCAGGGCCCCCGAGGCAAAGGCAGCAGGGCGGAGAGCCCCAAGACTGCAGTAGGTAGCCCACATCCGCCCTCACCCTGCTTGGCTCAGCTCTGGTTAAAAGCATCTTTGCACATAAAAATAAATGGTGGTGGTGGTGCTTGAACTAAAGCTCATTTGATGAGCTATATTTCGGGCGCCTCCACCACCAGTTTTAAGCACCGGGACACCGATCCCCTGGATGAGCCGCCCATGGCTCTGTTCCACTCCCTGCCCCAGCCCCGGGTCCTATTCACCTCCCTGGCTGGACAGCACCCCCTGCATCTGCCCCTGCCCCACTCCCTCCTTCACCGTGCGAGTCTCGATCTGCCCCCCATTTCTCTAGACTTACCTGCAGGGAGCTGCTCCTCACTCTGCTTGGCTGCATTCTGGTAAATTGGCTTTCGGATTGGTATTGGCTGATATGACTAGTTAATAATTGGCTATTGGTATTGGCCAAGGAAATCTTTATCAGTGCACCCCTAAACAGAAGGGATGCCAAGAACATTAAAAAACAAAACAAAACAGTGATTGGTATGATGCAGGATGGGTGAATCTCAAAAGGTCAGGACTTATCACTCTGACAGACATGCATAGGCAGCGGAAGGCTGGGGCTAATGGGACTTAGGCCCCCCAAAAGCAGGACAGCAGGGGCAGTGTACAACACTGCAAGGCAGCCCTGGTGTGGGCTCTGGGTGGCTGCAGTGGTGGGGAGGGGCGTGGGGGGGGGCAGATAGAGGCTCCCGCAGTGCCCAGCAGCTAAGTGTGGAAGGGGCACGGGGGAGGGAAGGGGTGTGTGTGGGGGGGGCATATAGAGGGAGGGTGTAGGGCAGGGGCTGGGGTGAATGGGGCCCTGGGGTGGGTCGTGGGAGGGTTGGAGCCAGAGAGGCTCATTAAGGGGCATGGGGGGCTCCTGCTGCTGTGTACACCCCCGGGGCAGGCATGGGGGGGCGGGTGCCCCCTGGATTTGTGCACGGGGCTTCACGGAGGTGGGTTGCTACTACAGGCTGGGTTGTGCACCCCACTGCTGGTGCCTCAGCAGCTGCACGATGCCATGTGCCTCCTGCAAGCTGGCTGACTTGTCCCCTGCCTGCATGGTGATGGGAGGTACGTGGCATTGTGCCCCATGTCTGCCCCATGGGTGTGTGCCCCAGGATAAGCTGCTTGGGCTCCATTCTTCCCAGATCCTGCCCCTGACTGACCCACTCTCTCCCTCACTGCGGGGGCCTTGATATACCCCTTCACTCCGCTTCTTGTTCACATATTTACCGGTGGGGGGGTGTGTGTGTGTGTGTGTGTGTGTGTGTGTGTGTGTGTGTGGAAGTATCTTTTAAGTTTTACTCAGCCCTCTGCAAATATTTTCTCCCTCTGCCTGTGTAGACATGGTTCATTACAGGATATAAGGCTTGGGAAAGCCCCAAAGTGTATATAACTCCCAGTCAGGGAGCATCTCAGACCTGATGAAAGAGGCAGAAGGAAGCTTGGAGTTTCGGTTTGGGTTGGGGTTCCTTTTAAGTTTTACTTATTTCTATTAGTGTTTTGGCAGCAGCTCAAACTGGTTGGAAAAGCTCCAAAATAACTACTAAATTGGAAATCCACCAGAGTGAGCTGCATGTTCACTAGCCTTAAGGATGAAACTTTTAAAAAATAGCATGAGGTACCTTGACTAAGTGTAAAATTAAAGGCTTTGTATTTACCATGGAGAGAAAACCCCTCCTCTGGATAAATAGCTTATTGCATGGTTTGGTAGCATTTACGAGTATTCCCAGAGCCATGTTTTATATATAACTACTTTCTGTCTGGGTAATAATAGGGCATTGCTATACTTTTCTGAACAAGGCACCTATAGAAGGACCATGACATGAAGCTGATCCTGCATGGTTGCACAAGAGGGACCTGTTCCTTACGTAATGCCCACCTCCCTAACCATTGTAGCTTAGTGTGTAGCTGTGTGTGGGGTCTTTTTTTTTTTTTTTGTTTGGTTGGTTTTTTTAAAAAGCAGCCAAGCGCATAATTAGGGCTGTGAACTGTGTAGAGGAAAAAGATAACTTTTTCCAGAGCTGTTAATTGGAATAAAGAATCGTTTTAAACTTTAACATGAAGTAGAGAATGAAGACATATTTAGGAGGAAGAAATTTCATAGTATTTGAAATGTAGCTGGTACAACTATGCTGAATGGCTGAAAACACTGCAATGAAATACGACTTCAAATAATGCTCTAAAGCATTGCTTTTCAATCATGATGCCATGACATCCCTGATATGCCTCGAGAGCCTTTCAATGGTACTGTGGCATGCAGTGTAATGTTAGCATTGTTAAGTGTACTGACATGATTTCCCCCATGAAGTGTGGGAATGGGGGAGGCTGCTGAAGCACTGTAACTATCACACTTCAGCAGACTCGATTAATTGAGTCTGCTCTGATGCACTGCAATTCAAATGTCAGAGTAGCTTCTGTGCTTATGTACAGGCACCCTCCAATATGAGGTACTAAATTAACACGCAAATGTGCTGTAGCACAAGTGCATGCTTTTTTTAGTGACACAATGCACAGTAGTCTACTAAGCTTATTGGATTACTACGCATTAGTGTATTAGAATGGTGTTTTACGCACCAGTTTAATACACAGAATAGGCTACTGCGCCTTAAAGTGCATGTGTAGATGTGCCCGCTGATTTGTTGTGGAGATGGGTAGGCCTGGCATCTGTCATAGTCTGCTACACCGGACTTCAACAAGACAGTCATTTTGTCATCCTGAGCAAAATGGTCTAAACCAGGGCATTTCCTGATGGGGCAGGGGCTTAGAGCAAGGAGCTTGTGGGGGGGAGATTTTTGGATGGCCTAGTGGCTTGACTGGTGCGGCCCCTGGTGTGCATGACCCCTGGGGGCTTAGAAATTGGACAGCCCCGGTCTAAACCCCTTTCCCCTCCCTCTTTTCCTTTCCTTTTTTTTTTTTTTAATATCACTTACAGCTGAGCTAGAAATTATACCTGGATAACCATTTTTTGTGACACCTACACACCCGCTGTGTATGTGTAAGGCCTATGAAATATGGCTCTGTAGTTGATTTATCAGAACAAAGCAGAGAATCTGTCTTTATCAGCCTTATACTTTAGGAACTTAGCTTGTTTATTTTGGTTTTTTTGCTTGTTTTATGAAAAATAAATTTGGTACGTGCACATAACATCAATGTGGGTACAACAAATGAACAACCAAACTAAATTTGGATAATTATTCTGTTCTCCATAGATCTGTTGGGAATAAATTTCCAAATAACAAAATTTGAAGTCTGTTATAAAGGTTTCAGGCTTCTTATATTTGAAGCTTATATTGCCCATATTTTTTTTAAATTAAAAAAATAGTATATATTTTCTCAGGCTATGTATAAAGATTTTCCTTTTACACTACCTGTTCAGCAAATCCTCTAGCTGCCAGCTGTTAATCCTAGAACTCTGACAGTTCTAAAACCCCCAACTTACATGACTTCTATATAGGCCAGTACCTTACATCTGGTTGATACTCAGCATCAGTCCCACTTGCCATATTCACAAGGCATGAAGACATAGTTAGAAGTTTTCATGATGTCTTTCTTGAAGAGTAAACTATTTTAATAGTCAATTTCACTGTCTAAGCTTATTGGACTAGATCCCTTTCCTCTTTTTTGTAGTAGTAGCCCCAACTGCTATTGGATCCAAAAACAAAGAGCTGAAACTTAATTTGACTGTATTTTTACTTTCCCCTCTCTTTTTTTTCCAGATCTCCTTCCACCAGGGGTCTGCAATCTCCTTAACCCTGCAGCTATCTATGCAAATAATGAAATCAGCCTGGGAGACGTTGAGATCTATGGCTTTGATTATGATTATACATTAGCACAATATTCTAATTTATTACACTCGATGATTTTCAACACTGCCAGAGACATCTTAATTGAACAGTACAAGGTAACCTTTTGCTAATGGGATGAATGTGTGTTTAATTAATCAATTTTATTTTTAGTTCTTAAAACTACTTTTGTTAAGCATGTTGTATGAAGTTTTCTTGTGAATTTACATAATTACCACTTTTCACAAATCTTTATCATTTTGTGGTTACTCTGTGCTAACTGTAACACTGCAAGCATCAATCTTCCAATAGCTGCATATTCAAATAAAAGACATCTCAATGTTGTCTAATCATCATTTTACTAAGACTTGGAAAAAGGTACCAAAGAGAGTTGCAGATTTTTTTTTTTCCTGCTTCAAACTCTTACCTCCAAGATTTTTTTTTTTTTTTTTTTTATTACAAAGTATCAAAACCATAAAACTTTCAACTCAACCAACAAAACACCAGCTTTCTCGCTTCAAAAGTCAAGACAACAACATTCACATCATAACATAAGAATCTTTCCTGAACAAACAAAGAAACGCTTCTCCCCCTTTTACATAATCAACTCAAAACATTTCAACTCCGTCTCGTTTATCAACACATAACATACATCATAACATTGTTTCTCTTGAACTTTCCCTTCCCCTTCCCTTCCCTCCTACTCAAACAACTTCCTCCAATCAATACCTTCCCACTCCCCTTCCCCTTTCCTCCTATAATACTCCAATTCCGCGTATACTAAATAAACACATTCCTGTGAAGTGAAATAAAGCCCCTTCTGAACCAATAGACACCTCGTTTTCCACACCGTCACCCGTGTACACAATAATAATAATATCTGAATTTCCCATTCCCTCACCTTCTGCCTTACCAAACCATACACCGCCCCCTCATAACTCTCACAATCCCCCCCACCGTATCGCTTTACAGAACCCCACCACCCGCTGCCAAACCCTCTGTACAAAAAAACACTCCCATAACACATGAAACAGTTTCCTCCCTCCCACATAATTCCCTTAGACTGCAGCAACCCCCATTTCCTCTGCTCTGCCCTCACCGGTATCACCCTCCTAACAACCCTCCACGCAAAATCCTCGTGCTCCCCCTTCCACCTCTTTCCCACTATCCCTTTCCAGACCCTCTCCACCTGACCTTCCGCCAACTCTCCTATATCCGCCATTTCGTCCCTCCCCCGAATTTCCCTCAACACCCTCACCAAAGAGAGTTACAGATGTTCCAGCTGCTATATGTAACTTAACTTGGCTGCTGCCCTCCTTCTGGAGACTCTTAGCTTTTTATAGCCCTTTTGACATCACCTGTGAGACTCAATCAAGGCCAGGTGTTGTTTGATGCCAGCCAGCCAATTTAACAAGCATCACTGGTTACCTAAGAGAGTGATATGGGCTCAAGCCCCTGTCCCCATGCCATGAGGTCAGTGCCAACACAATAGAGGTGGAGTTCCCACCCTTTTACCTGAAGTCACTCGCATCTGCAGTAACCCAGGGCAACCAAATTGACAGACAGGTGGGAAGACAATGGCAAGGAAAAAATGTAATGGGAGAGTCTGGGAAGAAACTGGGATGACCTTCTTCCACACATGTGAAGCTCCAGATGCTTTAATAAGAGTAGCTCTTGCAGCCACTCTAATTTAAAGTGTTCCCTCCCCTCCACCCCTCACTCCTGCCACACATGTATAAATACCCATAAAGATTAGAAAACAGGAGAAAGGAGGAAAAATAAACTGAAAGCTGACATCCCTCAGAAATCAATGACTGGATGAAATTTATCTTTTCAAACCTCAGGAAAAGCCTCCCATGTGTGACTGGCTTCATAAACAGATTCATCATTCCTGCCAACATATTGCAACCATATCTTCAGGATACCAGCTAGGTGCTATAAGGATCAGGAATTCAATTGCTTACTCAAGCACCTCAGATTTGTAAAATTACATTATGGTCTTTTAGTATCTTGAGTAATTGGGCCACTGTTGGATGTGGGATAGTAGGTTTTTATGAAAAGCCAGATCAGTCTGCCAAATTATTAATTCTTGTAAAAACTTCTTTGTTGCATTAAACTAACAATGTTCTTATTGTGTGCTTGGGTTTTTTTAAAGTATCCAGAAGGGCTTGGGAAATATGACTACATTCCAGGATTTGCCATACGAGGACTTCACTATGATGTAAAAAAGGTAAGTCACGCACATCTGCTTCATACTTCCGGTGTACTGATACTACAGGAAGGAGTTCTTTGAATATCTCTTTCTTGTAATGACATGATTGAAATTATTTTCAATAGAATATATACTGTGGATTATTTTCTTTACCTGCTTATTCCTCCCTTGTAACCTCTCTGGGGCAAGGACTGTGTCCTCTTACAGCATAACAAGGTACCACTTGTTCTTAGGACCTCTGGGTGTCACCTTAAACATTGTGAGAATAGTTGCCAATCTGAGAGTAAGATAGGTAGATAGTAGTATACAGAATAAATCCAAAGCGGATCTTTTCATTTTTGTATAACTTTTTTAATACTTCTACAGATCTGAAGCTTGTGTAGTTACTGTGGATATTCACTGGAGAGGTAGTGTTTAGGAATATTAGGGAATAACCTGCTTTCATAGTGGTGAATAGGTAAATAGCTCTGATACTACACCTTTATCTGTGGTTTGCAGTTGTAAAGCATGAGTCTGTTCTGTCTTTGGCTAAGAAATTCCAGCTATGGCTACAGAGTACTGAGATGAGAGAAGAAATAAACCTGTGAAGAAGAGAACTTTCAACAAAAGAGACTTGCCCAGCTTTCTTTTGTTGCGGGGGAGGGAAGCATGTTTCATTTTGCTCAAGTCAAATGTGATTGCATATAGATCTGTACGGATAAGGACTTCCTCTGAAATATGTACTTTCTAATGTGAGATAACAGAACATTATCTTAATGTTATATAAGTCCTACATTTCTTTTCTATCTGTAGCCTTTTTCAGAGAGATGCAGTAGAACCTTGTCTGTGGTACATTTCTTTGTGATGCTTCCAAACAGCGTTCCCTCTAAGCTGTGTGGCATGCGCAGCTGCACAGGCACACTCATGCTGCTCTGCCAGGTTCGTCTGCACAGCTGCGCATGCCATACAACTTAGAGGGAACGCTGTTTCCAAATCTGTTGCAGGGTGGTTTTAAACACAGTTTTTTAAATGTATTCACAACTGAGATTTAATTTAACTGCAATTAAAGTAATCAGGACGTCAAACTTATTTAGGTTCTTCTTGAATAAACATAGGTAAATAGGCATTTTGTATTTCTATTCACAGAGCCTTCTGATGAAGATTGATGCTTTCCACTATGTCCAGTTGGGCACTGCATATAGGTCTGTCAGATGAGAACACACTTTACTAAATGTTCAACACTTCACATTCAAAGTCGAATCACAAAAATCTCAAAATGTAACTTAGAGTGAAAAGCAGCCTTCTCTAGCTTTTCCTGTTCCTACTTGCTTTGTCTGACGTGCACTTACATGTGTCTGCTTTGCTCAAGCATTTTGAGCCAAGTGTGGGAGTAAAGGCTCAAACTTTTGTCTTGCGGGTAATGATGCATAGGATTACTTATCCCACTCAGGCTAAGTTGTAGAGAAATGCGTGTAGGCGATTTATGCAACTAAATTATTATACCAGGGAGAGACTTTCTTTACAGAGAAGTTCATATGTGCAAGAGCTATGCTGACAAAATTCTGCTCATGTTGGAAAGCTATGAGGAAAGTCCTTTGCAAGTGAAAATGAAGAGGTAGCTTTGAATTTCATTGGAATGGGATGATTTTCTAGGAGGGTAAAGGAAAAATTATCTAAAGCCAACGAGTCAGGATTGCATTTCTTCAATAAGAGCAGGCTGAGAGCAGGCTACAAGTCCTTGACTAGAACATTAGTAACCCACATAGTCACTTTCATTGCTTCTGCATGCTGTGTCTTGGCAACTGTTGGACTCATTCAAGTTGGGAATGACGTTCTTGATTTAAAAGCTCTTCCTATTCCATGGCAAGTCTTAAACAGGTCTTAAGTGCCAGCAAGTCCCATTGATTTCACTGAGATTTGGGTGTGGTGAGCACTTGCAGGATTAGATTTATCTTTTAGAAGCCAGGGAATAAATGCAAAGTAACATGAGAGCCTTTGGTTTGCACGTTCTGTGGGGCCATTCCAAGAATATAGAGCAAAGTAATGTTTTGCCTTTCTTTAGCTGGCTGGAATAGTTAAATATTTTTCCAAATAAAGATCCAAGCAACTCATGACTAATATCCCCACCTTACCTCTAAAATTTGTTCTGGGTTTTTGAACGTCCCCCAGAATAAGTGATGTCAAATATTTGCCAACATTAAGCGAACAAGCCATTTACACTGAGACAGAGTAGTGAAGGTTAATAATGGCTGACGCAGGAACATGTGAGCCCGTTTTCTCCTCTCCCTGCCTTTCCTTTGTACCTGAAAATGGGTCACCATAATAGTTTGTTAATTTTCATGACTACTGTTGGCATGAGCAGAAACAACTTTAAGCGCACGCATTACAACATATAACATCATTAGACTGGAAAAAAAAGCTGATGCCATCTATAATATTTTCTGTCTGATTACCCAGCTTGTGCTACCATATTAAGTGATATTGTACCTGTTACTGCCTTTGAGGCATTGGTGCTTCTGATTGTGGCGCATTCCTTTAATTGGAAGGTCAAAAACTGTACCTAAAATACAACTTTCTAAATTGAAAGAGGTAGCTAGGGACTTCTGCAATGAGATGTTGAAATTAGATTCAGATAGAAGTGAACTTTTCGTCATTGCAACATGGGGGACAGATGTACAAAATGAGTTGGCGTATCTTTTAACCCTCTCACCCACCCTTTGTCCCTCCAAGGTCCCTCTCTTGCATACGAGATCCTCATTTACTTTCCAGTAGCATGTGTTATATTTGGCAAGAGACTTCAATCAGGTTTTGATTTCCATCCTATAACCTGTAGTGCCTCTTGAATTCAGCTGTGGTATAAAAATATTGCCTGTATAATTGGCTTCAGTTTTTGTCAAGCAAAACGTTGATAGAATGAAGTCGGTGATTGTCAAACAGGGTGCTGTGAGATGCTTTTGAGGGTGTCATAGAGTGTTATTAATACTGTTAGGCGTGTAAACATGTGCATGATTCACAAGATAAACCCAGAGATTTCAAATAGTAATCTATAGTGTCAAAACATTCTTACCTGTTGTGGTTCTCTCAGTTCTTTGCAGCAGATAATTGCTCTATTTTTCCATAGTAAAAAAAAAAAAAAAGAAAGTAAAAGTTAAAAGTTGGCATTGTTTGAGTGGTTCCTTGAATCTAAAATGGTTGAGAACCACTGCTCTAAATTAAAGAATTGATTCAGGAATGCGCCATTCATTAGATCCTAACATTTGTCCTTACTTAGCATTTATTTCCACTGGTATCAATGAGGCTTTGAGATTTATAGTAGTTATCTAAATAGTGCCCCTCCCAAATTAAGGCCACCCTTGTTGATTATTCCCACAAGCTTTAATTTTAAGGACATTGGCTCTAATTGATATTATGGGAGAAAGGAATGTTCTCCTCTTTAAAAAACCTTAAATCATCCTGTATGCTTTTCCAATTAATAATATCTTTTTGGACAAAGCATGAAAGATTATGCAGATTGTAAACTGCATCTTTAATCCTGTATCAAAGCCCTCAGAATGGCATCATATTCTCCCTGAGCACTGAAGCCAAATGTTTTTCTTTGAATTTTGTGTTTTTTGTAGCTAAGCTCCAGTTAAATTAAAATCTTAATACATTCTACCTCTGGGAATTTTTCCTTGCATACTGGTTTGTTATTGGTTATCTGGAATTGCCTCATACTTCACAGAAGCTTCTTGAGTGGGTTTATTATGAAGAACTTGTTTAAATCTGTTTAATTTTTTTTAAACAAACAGTCAGTACCTTCAAAAACTCTTCCCAAGGGAAACATTCTCACTTGTTGATTTAAAAAGAAGGGTAAGATCACTGCTTATTTAGTTATTTTCCAAACTGTTACTCATCAAGTGCATGCATCTGTAAACTAATAAAACCTATTACATTTTTTAAAGTTACACTAAAACATGGCAAAAAGTAGACTTGTATAATAAAATAAGATTATCTTTGATTTATATTTTCTTTAAGACACTATTTTCTTGAGTATTAAAATTAAACAACTGTAAAACATTGAATACTGAACAAACTATCTACAGGTATCATAAAGATTCTTGGGAAGTCTTGTTCCTTGCATTAGTCAGTTTTGTTGTGGCATGATCAAGGCCAGCTACCTTCAGTGGTATATTTCCAAGCTTGGAACAAAAAGTTGTAGTGATAAGAGTTTTTTTTTCCCCCTTCAAGTTAAGAGCAAATAACGCTTCTCAATCAAGCAGAGGGTTGAGCTTCTTAACTATTTTAAGTGTCTGATGGAATATTTTTATTGCTGCTATTTCAGAACTCCTGATATGTGCAAAATTGCATTTGGAATTTAAAACCAACATTGTGGCAATGTCTTTTTTTTAAGTTCTAAAGTAGAGGAAGAGTTTGCCTTTTTCTCTGCCCTTCTTTTTGCATCCCAATAACTGCTGGCATTTAACTGTGATCCACTGACTTTAATTTTATCTTGTAGGGGGCTAAGACCTGTGCCTGATGAAGAGGTTATTGAGTTGTATGGGGGTACACAACACATCCCTCTGTACCAGATGAGTGACTTCTATGGCAAGGTATTGAAATAACTACATCAATGCATTCCTTAACATTGAGATGGGGGAAAAATAATTCTACATCAGCTAGAAAATTAAATGCATAAGGACTAAATTCTTATAGTTTATCCAAATTTGAAAAGGGAGAGACCTTAAAATATTTGAAATAGTCATTCTGTGGAGCTTACCTAAAGGGTGAAGAAGCTACCAACTGTCTGAAATGATTCTAAATGATTGGAGTATTGGTTCAGGACTGAATAACTGAGAGGTGAGGTTGCCAGAGTCTAATAGATAAAAGGTGCTTCATCTTTTAGACCCATTGGTCAAATCCAATCCATCACATATGTGACAAAATCATCAGGCCATCCGCAAAGTGTTCTCTGTAATGTGTGAACTTTTGTCTAGTTTCTAATGTACAGAAATGCCATCTAAAGAGCATGCCCTTTCAGGATATGCATCCTTACTGGACAGCTCAGCTGTAAGGCAAAACGTGGGCATGAATTGTATATCTTTTGAGAGTAGAGACCTCCTTTCAAACTTGTTTTGCAGTAAATAGATTTTAAAATCTATCCTGTCATGTAGCTGAAACTTTAAATTTTAATTACTAACAAATACGTGGAAGCATCATGCAAAATCTGTAAATGGCTTCAACTACACTGGGCTTCCTGCACCTTCAGATAATTCCATTTTCATATATAAGGAAAGGAGCCTCCTACCTGAATCTCATTCATCACAAATAAAAATGGTGGCCTAGGAATCATGTGATGCATTCTTCTTTTGATACATTAGGTATGTATCTTTAAATTTGTGAACAGTTAAACAAATGTAAAAATATGATCATTTAAAAAAAATTCAGATGAAGCTTTTTTTGGGTAACTATGTTAGTTCTAATGTTTGTTTCTCTTGTTCTGTTGGCTGATTTGTTTTAAATCACAGCAAATGGATGTACACTTGTACCCTGATCATTATTCTAGTACCTGTACCTACAGCACGAACATCCAGAAAAGTTTGATATAGTTCCTATTGCCTTAGGCTCCAGAAACCATGTTTAAATATTTTAAGTGGGGTGGATTCTGGGTGTTTGTAAATGTTTCCTGGCAGTTCAAGATCTGGAAGTATTTATTCTTCTATCTTTCTTCTACTGGAACTCTTAAATTTGCCCATATAGGGACTAAAGGAGGAGGGAAAGAAACAAGGGGGTGGGTGTGTGCACATGGTGGGGAGGGACTTTTAGAAGCATCTAGCTTCATGTCATAGAAGCTTTGAGAAGAACAAAATCATAAATCCCTGCCCTGACCCTCCTTATGTTTTATTTTAGGCTCCTTGTTTATTAAATCTCTTGTGAAAAGCAAATCTGTCCTTGTAGAAGAAGACCAGACTTAATCCATTTCACCAAAACCCCTGTAGGTCAGCTGTGTTAAGTCAACAACAAGAGGTCACTTTGATTCCTCTATCCTGGAAACAGCTAGTCTGAACAGTTTGCTCTTTAGGACAGTAGATACTTTGTTTATGCCTAGAACTTGTTCTCAGCTCTGAAATCACTTTCTGAATATTCTAGACAAACAAAGTGTCTCTACATACAGCACTCCCAAGGAAAGCTGGCTTCAAACAACTTCAGGAAGAACATTAGACTGGTGTAAACATTATTACAGAATTCAAACTCAGACTTTCCTTCCATTTTGAAGTGTAGTTGTTTTAGTAATAGTGCCTTTACAAAGCTACATGCCTCTCTCTGTCTCTGTCTCTCAGTATGGCTTATATTTTTAGTAGCATGGAAATTATTTATATCTTAATCCTTTTCTACACTTCTTATTTATATTTTCTTAATGCTTTTCTCCACTTTTTCACATGAAGAATATTCCTCTAGTGCAGACAGGGAAGATATAATTTGTTCAGGTGACCATCAGTGGTACTCTACATATGTGAGAGAGATTTAGGAAAGAAGTCTTGATATGACAAAATATACTCCTGTCTCTAATTAGAAATCCAGCACTCAGATTTGCTCACTTACTGGTCTAGCCCTTTGGCATAGTGTTCATTTGATCCTTGTTGATATTTTAGCTAACTGTCAGTCCTTTGGATCATAGGTATACATAAGATGTCTAGTCAGATGCCTGATGAATCTGTTTTGTGGTTGACAAGCTCAGTTCGAGAGTGACATAGCTTGTTAGAAGTTTCACAGATTCGTATGTTGTCTGAGTTGGGTCCAAGTTTTATAGCATGCTGCTTCCTTCTTTGCTTTGATTCCATTCTCTGGTTCAAAACTGCTTCAGGCTGAGCTGCACCCAGTGCCAGATATTCCCTCCAGGTAGACTGAGATTCTGCACTCTTCTCCCAGCTTTCTATGTGGATGTTGGACAACTTCATTATAATTTTTGCATACATCGTGGTACTACCATAGAGGGCAACCTCACTTTCTAGATCAGCCTCAAATCTCTCTGTACAAAATGTTTTTGGGGATATGGTCTCCTCCCATTCTCCTGACATGGCTGATCCATTGTAACCTCCTCTTCTTGATAGAGGTTTTCTAAGTGCGTCAGTCCTGTGTGCTCCAGTACCTCTGTGTCTTGGTACTCTGACTTCCCACTTAATTTTTGCGATCTTAGACAGACATCTCATGAGGAAGCTGTTCAGTTTCTTAATGTGCTTACCATATGTAGTCCAAGTTTTTGAACCATAAAGCAGGGATGACAGCATACAAGTCTGATAGTTTCACACCTTTACCTTAGCTGATAGTTCATTGTTATTCCATACATGTTTCTGTAATAGCCCAAAATTCTTAGCTGATTTTCCAATTCTGTTAGTTCAGTCTGAAAGTCAAGG